TGATCGAAATCGGTTCAGATATAGCTATAGCTCCCATATATATATATTGTTCATCCGATTTGTTATTTTAGTCCTCCGCAGCCGTAATATGCACTCTGTAACAACAATATTTTGGGAAATATATCAAATACAGCTCAGAAATACATTTGCTAAATTTTATCGAGATCGGTTCAGATTTGGATATAGCTCCCATATATAACTTCGTCCGATTTACCTTTTTATGGTGCACAAAACGTCTACTATTTGCCCAAATGGGATGAAATTTTGCACACACAACCGAATTAGGCCTAAAAATGGGTATACCAAATTTGATCGAAATCGGTTCAGATACAGCTATAGCTCCCATATATATGCTGTTCATCCGATTTGTTATTTTTGTCCTCCGCAGCCGTAATATGCACTCTGTAACAACAATATTTGGGGAAATATATCAAATACAGTTCAAAAATACATTTGCCAAATTTTATCGAGATCGGTTCAGATTTGGATATAGCTCCCATATATAACTTCGTCGGATTTACCTTTGATTGTGCACCAAACGTCTAATATTTGTCCAAATTGGATGAAATTTGACACTTACGACCGAATTGAGTCTAGAAGCTAGTATGTCAAATTTGATCGAAATCAGTTCAGATATAGCTATAGCTCCCATATATATATATTGTTCATCCGATTTGTTATTTTAGTCCTCCGCAGCCGTAATATGCACTCTGTAACAACAATATTTTGGGAAATATATGAAATATAGCTCAGAAATATATTTGCCAAATTTTATCAAGATCGGTTCAGATTTGGATATATCTCCTATATATAACTTCGTCCGATTTATATTTTATTGTCCACCAAACGTCTAATATTTGCCCAAATGGGATGAAATTTGGCACTTACGACCGAATTGGGTCTAGAAGCTAGTATGTCAAATTTGATCGAAATCGGTTCAGATACAGCTATAGCACCCATATATATATTGTTCATCCGATTTGTTATTTTTGTCCTCCGCAGCCGTAATATGTACTCCTTAACAACAATATTTGGGGAAATATATCAAATACAGCTCAGAAATACATTTGCTAAATTTTATCGAGATCGGTTCAGATTTGGATATAGCTCCCATATATAACTTCGTCCGATTTACCTTTGATTGTGCACCAAACGTGTAATATCAGACCGAATTGTATAGAATTTTGCACATACAACTAAATTAGGCCTGAAAATAAGTATGCCAAATTTGATCGAAATCGGTTCAGATACAGCTATAGCTCCCATATATATGCTGTTCATCCGATTTGTTATTTTTGTCCTCCGCAGCCGTAATATGCACTCTGTAACAACAATATTTGGGGAAATATATCAAATACAGCTCAAAAATACATTTGCCAAATTTTATCGAGATCGGTTCAGATTTGGATATAGCTCCCATATATAACTTCGTCCGATTTACCATTTTATGGTGCAGCAAACGTCTAATATTTGCCCAAATGGGATGAAATTCGGCACTTACGACCGAATTGAGTCTAGAAGTTGGTATGTCAAATTTGGTGAAGATCGGTTCAGATATAGCTATAGCTCCCATATATATATTGTTCATCCGATTTGTTATATTTGTTACCCACAGCCGTAATATGCACGATATTCCGGGAAATATATCGAATACAGCTCAGAAATATCTTTGCCAAATTTTATCGAGATCGGTTCAGATTTGGATATAGCTCCCATATATAACTTCGTCCGATTTACCTTTGATTGAGCACCAAACGTCTAATATTTGTCCAAATTGGATGAAATTCGGCACTTACGACCAAATTTAGTCTAGAATCTAGTATGTCAAATTTGGTGAAGATCGGTTCAGATATAGCTATAGCTCCCATATATACTGTTCATCCGATTTGTGATATTTGTTACCCACAGCCGTAATATGCACTCCGTAACAACGATATTGGGGGAAATATATCGAATACAGCTCAGAAATATCTTTGCCAAATTTCATCGAGATCGGTTCCGATTTGGATATAGCTCCCATATATAACTTCGTCCGATTTAGCTTTTATTGTGCGCCAAACGTGTAATATCAGCCCGAACAGTATGGAATTTTGCACATACAACCAAATTAGGCCTGAAAATAAGTATGCCAAATTTTATCGAGATCGGTTCAGATTTGGATATATCTCCCATATATAACTTCGTCCGATTTATCTTTTTTTTGTGCACCAAACGTCTAATTTTTGTCCAAATGGGATGGAATTTCGCACTTATGACCGAATTGAGCCTAGAAGCTAGTATGCCAAATTTGGTGAAGATCGGATCAGATATAGCTATAGCTCCCATATATATAAGTCCGAATTTAAAAGATACGCATGCTTCGGCATATTTAGTCCTTTGAACTTCAAAATTTTAATTATAATCATTAAGTGTGTGATTGAATTCTCCCAAAAAAATAAATTTAATTGTTATGCGGAGCTCTACTAAATTAGCAAAGTGGAGTAGGGTATCATAAAGTTGGCCCCGCCCGACTTTAAGACTTTATTTACAGGTTTGTTTTTGAGAAATGCCAAATTCGTTCCAAATGGTGGAGGGTATTCAAAGTTCGACCAGGCCGAACTTACAGGTTTTTTACTTGTTTTATAAAAAAAATATACTCCAGAATAAACCTTTCTTATCACTTCATATTTGTTCGGAAATCTCACACGTGTGTTGTTGGACAATCATCAATCTTTGGGTCCCCTCTCAATATCCATTTTTTTTTTTTTTTTTTGAAAACAAACTCATTTTAATTACTTTCGATGTTTTTCTTTGGACTTCTGAACAAGCTCTCCATGATTTATCAACTATTCGTGTGACCAAATGACCGACCGACCGACCACACCAGCGTAAACGAAAAACAATCCTTTTAATTGTTGGATTCCCGAAAATCAAACCAAACAAAATCGAAACGAATCGCCCCAGCTTCCAACAACTTGTATCAAGTGCTGCTGTTGTTGTTGTTGTTCAGCAACAGCCACAACAACTACAACTTCATGACAGCAACTCTGAAATTTTATCATTGCAAATCATCTGAAAATCGTGCTTTTGAACAAAACTTAAGCTTTCAATTTTGTTTTGTCTCTGGAATTGTTGTTGGTGTTCAAAGCCATGTCGCTGTACCCACTCGAAATGAAACTTTTGAAGGAACCCCAAAGCAACAACAAAAAAAACCAACAGCAGCGATAAGCAACTCCTTAACAAAACTGTCGTCGTTAAAGAGGTTCGGTGTGACTCCCACTGAGTTTTGTTGTAGATGTTTGGTATTGTTTTTGTTTTTTTTTTTTTTGTTTTTTTGGTTGCTGTACAAACTTAAGGTGAAGTTCAATTCGGGTTTCCATCCACCTCAGTTACGTGTAGAAAAACTACCAGCCATTCGACCAACCAACCAACCAATCTCTATCTCTCACATCTATTCTGGAGTGGACTCATTGCATGAGCTCTGCTTTATGGCTTGTCATTTCATTCGTTCGACTGTCTGTCCGTCTGTCGGATTGCAAGGATCCATATCGCATTTTGTCGCTCTCTTCAGTTCATTATGATGTGTGTATTGAATGAGCATTGAGATCTGCGGGGTTTTGGGTTTCAATTTTTTTTTTTTTTTGAGAATTTCGTGTCATTTATCAATTTATTTTGATCTCCAGCACCTTGGAGAGTGAATTTCTGCAGCATGTTACAAAAAGTGACAAGATTTGGGGAGGGGAAGATTTTTAACAAAAGACAAACAAAAATTGGGAGAGATTTTTTCAAGGGTCCTTGAAAAAATGTTTACCCCTATTTTACCCCTATTTTCGGATTTTCCATAGGAAAAATGTTTTTCCCTGGGAAAAAGGTTTTTCCATAGGAAAAATGTTTTTCCACTGGGGAAAAATGTTTTTCCACTGGGGAAAAAAGTTTTTCCATTCCTTTGGAAAAAAATTTTTCCCTTGGGAAAAAGGTTTTTCCTTTAAAAAAAAAAATTTTCCCCTGGGAAAAAAACATTTTTCCTAAGGAAGAACCTTTTTTCCCAGGGGGAAATTTTTTTTTTTCTTGGAAAAAGGTTTTTCCATAGGAAAAATGTTTTTCCCCTGGGGAAAAAGGTTTTTACCCTGGGGAAAAAGGTTTTTACCCTGGTGAAAAAGGTTTTCCATAGGAAAAATGGTTTTTCCCCTGGGGAAAAAGGTTTTTCCATAGGAAAAATGTTTTTCCCCTGGGGAAAAAGGTTTTCCATAGGAAAAATGTTTTTCCCCTTGGGGAAAAAGGTTTTTCCATAGGAAAAATGTTTTTCCCCTGGGGAAAAAGGTTTTTCCATAGGAAAAATGTTTTTCCCCTGGGGAAAAAGGTTTTTCCATAGGAAAAATGTTTTTCCCTGGGGAAAAAGGTTTTTCCATAGGAAAAATGTTTTTCCCCTGGGGAAAAAGTTTTTCCATAGGAAAAATGTTTTTCCCCCGGGGAAAAAGGTTTTTCCATAGGAAAAATGTTTTTCCCCCGGGGAAAAAGGTTTTTCCATAGGAAAAATGTTTTTCCCCTGGGGAAAAAGGTTTTTCCGTAGGAAAAATTTTTTTCCCCTGGGAAAATGGTTTTTCCATAGGAAAAATGTTTTTCCCTTGGGAAAAAGGTTTTTCCATAGGAAAAATGTTTTTCCCTTGGGAAAACGGGTTTTTCGTAGGAAAAATGTTTTTCCGTAGGAAAAATGTTTTTCCCTTGGGAAAACGGGTTTTCCGTAGGAAAAATGTTTTTCCCTTGGGAAAACGGGTTTTCCATAGGGAAAAATATTTTTCCCTTGGGAAAACGGGTTTTCCATAGGAAAAATGTTTTTCCCTTGGGAAAACGGGTTTTCCATAGGAAAAATGTTTTTCCCCTAGGAAAAAGGTTTTTTCATAGGAAAAATGTTTTTGCCCTAGGAAAAAGGTTTTTCCATAGGAAAAATAATTTTTCCCTGGAAAAAATTTTTTCCCTGGGAAAAAGGATATTCAAAATATACGAATAAATTTTCATTTAACAAACAACAAAATTTCTCTCTTTTATTCAAAAACCTCTCATCAAATCACAACATTTCTCGCTCATTTATATTGTTCTGCTCCATCGATATCGTTGGTAGGCTCTGAATGTGTGTGCTTCGGGGAGGGATTGCAATGGCAATCATTCTCATCCTTCGATTTTGGTGGTGCCCCCGACATACCGGCCGTTAGAATATTAAGTCCCTCCGCAAATTTGGGAAATCCTGACATGGTTTCCTTGAGCGTGGTAAACATGACCGGCAAATACATGAAGAAATCCTTGAAATGACCCACCACCGAGTTATAGTCCATACTTTGGTGGAAGAAATTGGGAATAATTTCATTTATGGAGTTGCTCTCGTCATCGCCATCATCATCGTCCTCCAGGCCGTCATGGGGTCGAGGGGCACAGTTGGCAAGGGTTAAGTAACTGAGAACTGAATAGAGATAATTTGGATATTTTTCTAGGGTATTTCAAAATTTCGTAAACTTACTTAAATACGTGAAAAATACGACACTTCGCGTTTTGGCCATTTGTAATGTTTTGTTGTGAAAACTTCCGAACTGAATAAAGTTTTTACTGATTTTCCCTAGATTTATATAATTGCACTAAAACTACCACCTGTTGTTAGCTGGCCATAACTCTTGAAAATGATCGACATCAGCAAAATGTCTTCATTTGACATTGCCATGCAAGTCAATGATTCATTTGTTGTGGCTCCGCACAAAATTTCGCTAACATTGGCAAGAATTCTAGAATTTCAATGTGAAAATCATGACAACAATGTAAACAACTGACCCCAAACAAAAGAGAATAAAAAGAGATGAGATATTGAATAATTTCGGAGATTGTCAAATGCTCTGAACCATTTTTTGGAAAAAAAAAAAAAATCTGAAAAAAATATTAAAAAAAAAATTTGATCAAAAAATTTAAAAAAAAAAAAAAAACATGTAAACAGCTGACCCCACAGAGAAGAGCTTACAAAGATAAGAAATATTTAATAATTTAGGAAATTGGTAAATGCACTGAAAAAAATTTTGAAAATTTTTTGAAAAAAAAAAAATTAAAAAAAAATGGAATAAAAAAATTTTTGGAAAAAAGAGAAGAGCATACAAAGAGAAGATATATTGAACAATTTAGGAGATTGATAAATCCACTCAGAAAAAATGTGAAAATTTAAAAAAAAAAAAAAATGTTTTGAAAAACAAATTACATTAAAAAATTTTGAAAAAAAATTTGAAAAATTTTTTGGAAAAAAAAATGTTTAAAAAAATACATAAAAAGATTTTGAAAAAACGTTCAGCCAGCTTGAATTTTAGTTTTCTTATGGAAATCGCTGAAAATGAGGTTTTCCTTTAGAGATCCCCATTCAGAATTCAAAATTTTTTGAAAAAAAAAAAAAAAACGAAAAAAAACAAAAAAAATGTTTGAAAAAAAAATTGAAAAAATATTTTGAAAAAAGATTAAAAAATAATTTTAAAAATATATTAAAAATAAAATTTGCAAAAAAAAAATAAAAAAAGTTCAGCCAGGTTTCTTATAGAAATCCCCATTCATTCGGAAGAAAAAAATATAAAAATGTTAAAAAAAAATTGAAATAAAAAAAATTAAATAATAACTTTGAAAAAAATTGAAAAAATAATTACCTAAAACAAACTTGAAAAAAAAGTTCAGCCAGGTTGAATTTTATTTTTTTTTTTATGGAAACCGATGAAATTGAGGCTTTCCTGTGGTATTTTCCATTCAGCCGGGCTAAATTAAAACATTTTTGGAAAAAAATATAAAAAAGAATAAAAAAAAATGTTTGAAAAAAAATTTTTGAAAAAAAGTTTTTAGAAAAAAAATAATTTTTTATTTTTTGAAAAAAAAAGTATGAAATAAAAAAAAAATGAAAAAAAAGTTTTAAAAAAATTGCAAAAAAAAAATTAAAATAAAAAATTGAAAAAAATTGAAAAAAAAAAGTTCAGTCAGGTTAAATTTTAGTTTTCTTATGGAAACCGCTGAAATTTCGGCTATAGTAATCCCCATTCAGTCGGGCAGAAATTAAAAATTTAAAAAAATATATAAAAAAAAATTTAAAAAAAATAAAAAATAATTTTGAAAAAAAAAAATTGAAAAAAAGTTCGGCCGGGTTGAATTTTAGTTTTCTTATGGAAACCGCTGAAATTGAGACATTCTTATGGAATAAAAAATTAAAAAAAAAAACAAAAAAAAATAAAAAATTGTTTAAAAAATATTTAAAAATTTTTTTCAAAAAAACAATTGAAAGAAAAAATTTACATAAAAAAATTTGAAAAAAAAAAGTTCGGCCAGGTTGAATTTTAGTTTTCTTATGGAAACCGCTGAAGTTGAGGTTTTCCTATAGAAATCCCCATTCAGTCGGGCAGAATTTAAATTTTTTTTTTGAAAAAAATATGAAAAAATTGTTTAAAAAAAAATTAAAAAAAAATTTTTTGAAAAAAAATTTGAAAGAAAAAATTTACATAAAAAATTTGAAAAAAAAAAGTTTTCTTATGGAAACCGCAGAAATTGAGGGTTTCCTATGGTATTTCCCATTCAGCCGGGCTGAATTTAAGATTTTCCTAAATACGGGGTGAGATGAAAAATTTCACCAAAACCAATTTCAGAGTGCTGTTATAACAAAGGCACTTGTCCGACAGCTGTTTAAAATTATTTGAGTGACAGCTCATTATACATACATTACAAGCACAAAAGCATTTTGGTGAGAATTTTCCAGAAAAAAAGTTATTCGTGATGCCAAAATCTCCGGATACCAATTCGTTGGACTATTGTGTCTGGAGAATATTTTAGAAAGCAATGTTGGCACTAAAAAATACCAAAGTGTCAGTCACCTCAAGCAAGCGCTTCGCCGGGAATGGGCCAAAATACCGCAGAGCAACTTTCGGGCAGCGTGTGATGGTTTCATTGGCCGTTTGAAGGCCATAATTCGTGTCAAAGGTTACCAATTCGAACAAATCCAAACTTATTCTAAAATTTGATACTATTTCCGACAGTTTTGGCTTTTATTCAATAAAATTTAAAAAAAATGTAAAAATTATGGCATTTGACTTTGTTGCAGTTTTTTTTATCTCACCCTGTATTTATATCTTTGTTATTTTTGCAATAAATTGCCAGAAAAAAAAACTTCCAGTAACTAAATATTATTACTTATGGATACTAATTTATATGAAGTGGGTTATAATCAATTGTCATCCTCCTCCTCCTCCCCCATCTGTAGTTTTTCATAATCATAACTACGTTTTAGTATGTGTGCCCGGCCAAAACTTTTCTCCTTTACATCTTAATAAATCAAGTCGCTATCATTTTTCCGTTGTTGTTGTTGTTGTTGGGAGAGTTAAAACCAAAAAAAAACACAGATACATGTTATGAATATTTCAGAAAAGCTCGTGAAACTTGAATAAAACATTCTTAATTTATAACCAAAAAGTTTTTACCTTTACATCAGGCTGGGCTGGCTGGCAGGCAAACATACATGCATGTGTGAGGGAGGTTGTGTGTGTATGTGTGTTTGGGTGGTTGGGAAGATATACTGAACATTAGTGTGTAATAAAGAAAATTAATTAGATTGTCATTGAGATGGCAAAAGTTATTAAATGGAGAGAGAGAGAGAGAGAGCGAGACACAAAAAGAAGTTGTTATAAATCATTGGAATTGACAAATTCATTATGTGCTGCATACTTTTAGGCGTTCATCAGGGAAATGTTACTGTCTCTTAAAATGTTGTTAAATACTTATGGATGTTTTTAAAAAATACAGAAAATTAATAAAATGACTCAAAACACAATTCTCTCCTCCATCATTATTCTAGTATGGTGAAGAGTATAAAAACCTCCACCACACTATGGAGGGTATATTAACTTTTGTCATTCCGTTTGTAAGTCCTCGAAATACTCATGTCAGACCCAACAAAATATATATATTCGTGATCAGCGTAAAATTCTAAGTCAATTTAGCGATGTCCGTCAATCTGTCCGCCTGTCTGTCTATCTATCTGTTAATCTGGCTGTCTATCCGTATATCTATCTGCTGTAATCACCCTATCTTTGGAACGCATTGAGATATAAGGCAAAAATTTTGCATACATGTGTATTTTGTTAATAGGAAGATTAAGTTCGTAAATGGACCATGTCGGTCCACGTTTTCGTATAGCCCCTATGTAACGATACCTCCCAATATACGATTTTTGATTATTTTAGCGACATTATTCAACGGAATTGTTGCAAATTTCGTATTTGAAGTTCGTAATGGGTACTACAGCCTATAACAACATATTATTTATGCAGGCCCAAGTCTTCGTATAACCCCCATATAACGATGCCTCCCAATATTCGGTATTTTGAAGATTTTAGTGAAATTATTCACCGGAATTGTTTTAAATTTCGTATCAGGAGTTCGTAATAGGTACTACAACCTATGACAAACGATTACGAATGCAGGTTCACGTTTTCGTATAGCCTCCATATCACGGTACCTTCCGATATTCTTTATTTTGATGATTTTAGCGACATTACTCACCGGAATTGTTTTGAATTTCGTATCAGGAGTTCGTAATAGGTACTACATATGACAAAAAATTGCGAATGCAGGTTCAAGTTTTCATATAGCCCCCATATAACGGTACCTCCCTATATTCGGTATTTTGATGATTTTAGCGACATTATTAAACGGAATTGTTTCAAATTTCGTAGTTGAAGTTCGTAATAGGTACTACAACCTATGACAAAAAATGCGAATGCAGATTCACGTTTTCGTATAGCCCCATATCACGATACCTTCCGATATTCTTTATTTTGAAGATTTTAGTGACATTATTCACCGGAATTGTTTCAAATTTCGTATTTGAACTTCGTAATGGGTACTACAATTTATGGCAAAATTTGCATATGAATGTGCACGTCTTCATATAGCCCCCATTTAACGATACCTCCCGGTTTTCGGTATTTTGATTATTATAGCGACATTATTCACCGGAATTTTTTCAAATTTGGTATTTGAAGTTCGTAATAAGTACAACAACCTGTGACGGAAAATTGTCTATGCAGGTCCACGTCTTCGCATAGTCCCCATGTAACGATTCCTCCCAATTTTCGGTATTTTGATGATTATAGAGACATTAGACCGGAATTAATAAAAATCGGTATTTAAAGCCCATAATTGCTACTACAGCTAATGCCGAAAAATTGCGTATGTAGGTCCACAGCTTTGTCCTCCCGATATTCGATATTTTGATGATTTTAGCGACATTATTCACTGGAATTGTATCAAAATTCGTATTTGACGTTCGGAATCGGTACTACAGCCTATGATAAAAATTACGTATGAAAGACCACGTCTTCTTATAGCCCCCACATAAGGGGGAGTATTTTTCTATGGATTTTTTTTTTTTTTTTTTGGAAAATTCAAAGTTCCTTCCAAATGGTGGAGGATATTAAAAGTTCGATAAGAAGTGGAATGTACAAAACTTAAAGTCACCAAAAATCTATTTTTAATTTATGCGAATAATTGTTAAACAAAATTTTTACCCTTTTTGGGAGAGGCACAGGAAAGGGCGAGCCGATATATTCCATCTTCTTACCAGATCTTGTTTTAGTGGAAATATTGAGATGTGCGATCTTTGAGTTATAATTATTCAAAAATTTTGACCAGTT